CATGCTGCTTGCTCTCCATTTCTTCCTACTTTTTCTTGCAGGTTGCTCCTTACTCATTTTTCTCTCCTCGTGCATGAAGTAGGTGTTGGAGATTATGCTCTTTCGGAATGATATAACTCTTAGCCCTTTTCCTGAAGGAACAGGTATAGGGGTCTAGAGTTGCTGCAAGGGTCAGTCTTTCATAGGCTTTTGCAAAAAGGGAAAATATAGGCCTATGACTAAACTCTGGCCAGTGGGATGTGAATGAAAGTGGGGTGCTGTGTCTGGGTCATGCTCATAAAAGGAAGCACTCTGTTTCTTATTTCCTCCATCCTGAGAGTAGGGATTTGACCCTGGTGATGGTGAGCTCACCTGGACTCAGGGCATCATCCTGCAGGATGCAAAACAAGAATATACAAGGCTCCTAAGTCCCTGGACCTATCTCATGGGGAAGTAGTGCCCAGTCTCCATGAATTGCCTACAAACTTGGACTCTGAGAGAACTTCCATCTTAGTTAAACTATTGTTATTTGGTCACCGTTACAGCAGCCAAATCAATATCTTAATATATAATTTATAAATACTGACCGTTGCTCCTATGTGTTGAATGAATTAGTAAGCATAAAAGTTTCTATATAAATAAAGTAATATTAAAGAATTATTTCTCCCATTCCCATAAACTTTGAGCATAAAACATCTATAGTCTACTGAAAAGGAAAGATGTAGTATAAAGCTTCAGCTGAAGTCAGCATCTCATTCATCATAACCTTGGGCCCATAACCTAACTTGCTTTATGATAAAGTAGGTTAGCACAGAAAGCAAGTACCATCTGTTGAGAAGAAGCCAATACAACACTGGGTTACTGGTTTCTGGTTATAGGTTCTATCAGACCACAAACAAGGCCTTTAAAGGGAAAATAAACTAGGAAATCTTCAAATTCTGCATCTCCTATCATTCTTTTGAGTCAAGCATTATAATAATATGAATTTGATTATTATTCTCTGATTGCAGGACTTTTCTCATTGCTTGTTTCTATACAGAATGCAACAACAATTTCACATAGGTAAAGTAAAGGAACTACTTACAGTTGAAGAACACTTGACATAGGGATTTAAAAAAAAAAACTAGCTACTTACATTTATCATTATTTTGTAAATAATTTTGCATTCACATACATAGATTATGACTGTTTAAGGATTTCGGCTTGCACAGCCCACCAGATCATATCTGTCTATGATCAAGCTTGTATACTTATATTACTAAAGCACCCTCAGTGAAACATTGGGAGTCTCCATATACCTCCTTAGGATATAGTTCTACAAGTCTTTTGGGGAAGTGCAATGGAATGGTGACTTATTTAATTAGTGAGTGTTGGAAAGAGGAACTGATGGCAAGCCCTAACACTAGAAAAGTGGTTTGAGGGTTGGCTTTTGGAACAAGGAGTTGCAATTAAGAAAAGCTGGACAGGGCTTCCTTGGTGGCGCAGTGGTTGAGTGTCCACCTGCCGATGCAGGGGACACGGGCTCGTGCTCCAGTCCGGGAGGATCCCACGTGCCGCGGAGCGGCAGGGCCCGTGAGCCATGGCCGCTGGGCCTGCGTGTCCGGAGCCTGTGCTTTGCAGCGGGAGAGGTCACAACAGTGAGAGGCCCGCGTGCCGCAAAAAAAAAAAAAAGAAAGAAAAGCTGGACAATCCCACTACTGGGCACATACCCTGAGAAAACCATAATTCAAAAAGAGTCATGTACCACAATGTTCATTACAGCTCTATTTACAATAGCCAGGACATGGAAGCAACCTAAATGTCCATTGACAGATGAATGGATAAAGAAGATGTGGCACATATATACAATGGAATATTACTCAGCCATAAAAAGAAACGAAATTGAGTTATCTGTAGTCAGGTGGATGGACATAGAGACTGTCACACAGAGTGAAGTAAGTCAGAAAGAGAAAAACAAATACCGTATGCTAATGCATATATATGGAATCTAAAAAAAAACAAAAAACAAAAATGGTTCTGAAGAACCTAGGGGTGGGACAGGAATAAAGACACAGATATAGAGAATGGACTTGAAGACGTGGGGGGGGAAGGGTAAGCTGGGACGAAATGAGAGAGTGGCATGGACATATATACATGTGAGAAGCAGCCGCATAGCATAGGGAGATCAGCTCGATGCTTTGTGACCACCTAGAGGGGTGGGATAGGGAGGGTGGGAGGGAGGGAGACACAAGAGGGAAGAGATATGGGAACATATGTATATGTATAACTGATTCACTTTGTTATAAAGCAGAAACTAACACACCATTGTAAAAGAAATAATATTCAAGAAAAAATGTTAAAAAAAAAAAAAAAGAAAAGAAAAGCTGGAGATTGGCATGTTATTTTCTGAATAGAAATAAACCTTAGGAAAGAGGCGTGTTTTGACCATGTAATGCTGAAAGGTCTACACTGTCGTGGGCAGAAATGTTGAAATGTTAATATTGGATACGAAAAGGAAGGGTTTTATTTCCTGTACCACTGAAGTTAGTTTGTATAAACAGTCTCTCTCTTTTATCAAGACTTGACCATTGCTGTTAGTGGTGGCTCTCCTTGGAGTTTTAAGGACTGAGACTTTGTTTTGCTGATCCCAAATCCCCAGAACTATGCCGAGCAAGTTCTCAGATTTAAAAAAACAAACAAAAAACAATCAAACAAAAAAACTATTGTTGACTGAATGAATGAATGGATGGATGAATAATGTTCGCATCTAACAATTATGATTTCCACTAAATGAAGTGAAAGAATGACTCATCCTCTTTTGAGGATCCCAAAGGAGACATAAATATTACACTAAGGGATTTTCCTTAAGTATATGGAAACAAAAAGATAATTTATCTCAAATAAGTTGTTTATAATGAAGGCTGCTTCATAATCGATTTTTTTGTTTGAGTCTTGTAAGCATATTTGTTACATTTGTCAGTACTGAAATACTTGATTTTCCAGAATTATGACTTTAGGTGCAAAGCTATGTTTTTTAAAAAGAAAACGTGATTATAAATATAGGTTTAGAAAAAAAAGAATCTGACCAATTTTTTACATGTCTTTGAAGAAATATAACATTGAAAAAAATCACTAAAATTATAATCATATATACTGTTTAGAAGAAAAAAAGAAATAATTAGCTTGAATGTTATGGTATTCTGTGTTGCTGATAAATGAGTCATATTGACTCCCATGACCACATATTCACATGAAATACATGCAAAAGGGCTGCAGTTACAACAAGCAGGAAGTTTTAGTCTACTTCTAAGAATTTTAACTATTGCAATTCAACTGACACACATTCTGATAACCAGAATTTCATTTTGTGTAGCAACATGGGAATCTGGCCTCAGCGTCTAAAGGTGATCTGTTTCATTCCTGTATTTTAAGGATGTGGTTTAGGAATAAAGTATTAGGTTTGCAACATTTATGTAAAACGAATAATGTGACACTGGAAAGCAATGCTCTTCATTTAACATAATGAGTTGCTCTACAATAAGTCAGATCCTCCCAGAGTGTAAATTATACAAATTTGAAAGCTGCATTTATTATTGAATATCTCATTCACAGACAAGTTCTTACTCAGTAGTAAAACCTGGTGTAGTATACCAAATTAAAAGTTTTTTTTTTTAAACTATCATGCATGTACCCAAACCATTTGTGTGCAGTTTAAAACTTTTCCTCCTAAGGAAACTATTGAGAAAATTGAGAATAGTTGATTTTTACTACCACCAAACAGTAGAAATGAAATATGAATTGTATTAATAGGCAGAAATACTTGAACAGAAGCTTGGATTGTTTAAAATTAATAGTTTAAAAGATCTATCTGGAAATAGACTTCTTATTAAGTTGCCTTTTAGTACTCTAACATGCGATTTTGTGAGAGTGTTGTTAGAAGAAATGCTAGGATATTCTAAAAATTTCTAGGTTGGTTGATGAAATTTCTTACTGTTAATTAATGAGTTTATGTTCCCAGCTGTACATCAGCACATGTTAAATTTTGCAAGAGAGTTTATGATTTCTAAGAACTCTCCTTCTATAAGGCCTTTTGCTGAGTGAGACAGTTTAGGAATCAATAAGTAAAGGGGATCTTTCTTCTTTGTGTAAATAGCTTAAGAGTAAATTTAGGTGGTCTAGAAACCGTGAGTTATTAGGAAGGTGCTTAGAAACAGGCACAGTACGTCAGCTGCCCGAGATCCCTTCTAGCAGCCTAGCCTGGACCTCCACACTCTGTTGGGCACCGTCTGTTACTGGCCGAGTAATTGCCATTTTTGGCAAAGACCACCCTAGATATGGGCTCAGAATCCATCCTAGGGCTAGCCATCCTCTACAACCTGGTATCCCCTGATTCGGAGCGAGTACATTCAATTCAGGAAGATCACTTACGACTGAGTTTTTCATCATGGCTTTGACTGTGAAGCCCTCAGAAACCAGGGAGTGAGGCTGGTGCACCGGGAGCGGCAGCTTGGTCCTCTTCGGCATCTTGTCTGGGCATTTGTTTAAGCTCAGGGTCTCTTTTTCTGCCACCATCTTCCTAGAAAATGTCTTGTTCTCATAAAACGTGTAGTAAAAGAATCAGTGAGTTTTACGGATGTGAGAAGGAGGTCGGGAAAAAATGTAAAAAGGCGCGTTACTGGTAGAATTTCACGCCCTCGTAGTGCCCAAGTTGATCCAGATGTTTGGCAGCTCCCAGGTGAAGGGAGTTGAGGGGAGGGGAGGGGCGGGAAGAGGGCAGGACAGAGGCTAGAGCCGCAACAAGCTTCCAAAGGTAACCCTCCCGGTTGCTAAGCGACACGTCAACACTGCGGCCGAATGACCCTGCCTCTCGGTGACGGACGTTTCCTAGGCCTCAAGCCGGAAGGGCGGCGGGCGGCGGGCCGCGGGCGGCAGCGACCGACCTGCGGAGAGACTACGCATTAAAACTACGACTCCCAGAAGGCCTCGGGCTAAGCCCCCTTTGCGCATGCGCGCCCCCACGGGCGGGCGCAGGGGAAAGGCTTCCTGCACGATTTAACCCGGGAGTGTCGCTCGTGTGAGGCGCAGGCGGCCACCGGCGTGCGTGTAGGCCCTTGCTCGCCCGGCAGCCTCCAACTGCCCAGTGGCCATGATAGGTACGTGGGTACCTGACAGGTACAGCCTCTCTGCGCCGCCTCGCGCCCAGCTGTTGCGCCGCGCCGGGCCTCGGCTGACAGGGACGCCGGGGTGCTGCCCGTGTCCGCTGTCCGTGGCAGGGTGTCGGTGTCCGCGCCATCCTCAGCCTGCGCCGCCGGCTCCCCGGTGCCCGCCGTGGCCCTGGAGAATAAGTGTGTGTGTGTCCTAAGCCCCCACCCGGCCCTCGTTTGACGGGCTTCCCCCTGGAGCCAACTTCGCGAGGGACCCTGGCGTGCGCCTCGGCGCTGCCCGAGGCGAAGGCTGCGTCCCGCGGTCTGTCAGCGAGCGCACCGACCGCCGGACTTCTAGGGGCTGTGGGAAGGCCCCGCCTTCCGCCCCGGTTTCCGTCCCTCAGGGCGCTTGGGAGGCGGTCTTGCCGCTTAGGACAGATTGGGACCCACTCTCCGGAGAACTCTTTAAGGGAAACGCTCGCGAAGCGCTAAGCTCTAATGGACAGTGCCTAGGGACGATGGTTGAGGTCAAAACAAATTCCTGCAGATGGATTTAAACTTCTTGCTCCCTTGGGTTTTGTCTTCTAAATCTCTCCCTAGAGGTCTGAGTTGAAAGAATAATTGAGTCAGTTATAACAGGGATCAAAACTTTCGCATAGTGAACTAACGATTCATTTTGCAAAAACAAAACAAAACAAAAAAACCACTTTTTTTATACACAGAAGGCCCTAGGTGCATTTATGTGAATAAAGCTTTGGAAGTGGCTGTTAGAGTTGCTTATAAACCCTGTAATATGTAAGATTAGAAAAGTTCCTGTCTTCCAGGATTGTTAAGCCAAAAGTTATTTTAAGGGTTATCTCTGAAAATTAATGGAAACGCACAGTGTGATTACAAAACATTGATGTTTGGGGAGATTATTATGACAGATTTCCTGTAGACCATGTATTGGTTTGGTGAGTTTATTTGGGGATTATTCTTGAATGGGCACCACTTACAAAACGCAAGTACATCTGAAGTCAGATGTCGTCTATCCGAGAAGATAGAAGGTGATTTTTAAAAATATATAAGTTTGTATGCACTGATAAACTTACATCTTTTATTTATTAAACGAATGTTAAAGTGTAAAACGTTTTATCCGTCACTAGGAGAATCATGCCAGCTAACTGACACTGTGTTTGCAACAATGATAAAACCTAAGGATGTTGTCCAATTTTTCTTACCTTTCTAGCATGGTATGATTGTTGGTGAAGCTATATACAGGCAAGAATTTAAGATCTAAAAGTCATCACTTAATTCTAAATTGTTATCTAATAGACGATTATATAGATAACTTTGTTAGAATGAACTATGTTTATGCAGTTTAGTTTGTTTGGGATTTAGGAACACAGGAAGGAAGCGTATTATCTTTAGATTTGATGATTAGACATTTATTAATAACTGGTAGTGATGTGGAGAATGTAAGGTGGATTTTTAAAAGTGTTCTTTCTCATACTCCAGCTATTGTTTGACACAGTGCAAATAAGTGTATTACAACATAAATAAATCCATGCTCCCTCCCAGGAAAATACCTTACTTGTTAAAACCATGTGGACAATGTACAATAAATTATACAGCTAGTCAACTACTTGCATTGCCTAATTCGGCCAATGGGTACATTTTAATAAAAATCTTAATTGCCAATTTTGGAGTTGGTTCAGTTGATAATGCCAAAGGTAAGTGAAAGTGGGAGCAATTGAAGGAAAATCTTGGAGTGATATTTCCCGTTTCTGACTAAACTTTGGAGCCAGGAAAGGCCTTATTTATAGTCTATATCCAGTGATATACTGGAGATTAAAATATACATTAATATATATCTGGGGATTATTTTATTTTTGTTAAAGACGTGTGCTGCTCAGAACTTGCCCCTTTTGTGCCTATGCTGTCTTTAATTGCTACACATTCTTTAAAGCTAACAGTACTCTTCTACTTTATGTAAATCTCAGCTCACTTTTAAGGAAAAACAAAAATTGCATTTCTTGGTAGAATAGGAGTAAGGGGGATTGACTGTTGCCTCACTACCAGTAAAATTACCTTTTTTTGCTTTCTCAAAATTCAGGATTCTTTCTTGGCACAGAGACAGTTTCAAAAGTACTTAACATTTTCCAGTTAGATTATGATTAATATGTTAAATGCCCTGACTCAGACAGCTATAGAAATATAATTTAAGTGGGTGAAAAATTATGACGTTTTGAGAAATATGGAGAGGATGTTAAGATAATATAAAGCATAATAAAAACTTAAGAGAATTCAACTTAGAAAAATGTAATTTTTGGTACCTCTCTTAAAATTATATTTCACCCTTTTTTAAAATTACCATTTTTGTGTGTTTAAAATTGAATTTTAATAGTAATATTTGTGGTATATTCTATATGTATGTTGTATAGAACTGGATTTAGGTATTTAAGTAGTATCAGATGTTAAAGTGCATGGATATATATATATAACCATGTTGCCAATTTTGAAATTCAAACCCAATGTCTTAAAAATGATTTTTGAGTGATTTAAAAAATAATTAGAACATAATCTCTTCTGTATCTTGTTCAACTTAACATCTCTTAGAAGGCTTACAAACCTGCATGTACAGATCCACCCTACAGTGATTCCTGTCTAGTATTTAGTGGCTGTACATAACTTATGCAGGTACTCTCCAATAAATGAGCATACAGTAAGTTTACAGACAGTTGCTGTCATCAGGAAGGTTTGTGTCCATATCATTTCATTTGCATATGTAAGCCTATATGTAAAGTAAAAATATTATTACAGTTTCTAAGTGGATTTTCTAGCTAAAGGGTTTGTAGACTTTGAATTTTGCTAGGGATTTCCAAATTGTTTAAAATAAATTACGCTGTTTTACATTTCTATCTGCCATAACAAGGTAGCAAAGAGCTGTCCTACTCCTCTGAGCTGAAAAATTACAAAAAGACATCCTTCCCAGAACTGACCCAGCATTCAACAGCAAAGCACCTACTGGGTTTCCCCTCTCTCTCCAAAGACATTGCCTTCGAACAGTGCACAAGGTGCACAACTGTCCTTAATGGCCCTGCCCCCCTTCAACAATGTTTATAAGAGTGTCCACGTTCCCTCTGTGTACCATAAAATTTTTTATTTTTGTCTTTCTGATAGATGAAGAACAGTATATTTTAATTTTTTAAATGAATCTTATGAAGAAAAAACCTTCACAACCTTCACTTCTCATTTTATAATGCTTTATTTTCATGAAAGCTGATTCAGTAATTGAGTATCTACTGTGTGCCCAGTACTGTTCCAGGTGCCAGGGATACATAAGTTAAAAAAAACAAAAAACAGAAAAAAACACCCCGCCGTCATGAATGTACAGTCTCACTGTACTGTTTGCCCACAAATCTGCATATTTGTTTTAAAGCTTGTATGCAGTGAATTTTAAAGTCTCAAAATTTATATTTTAGTTAAATATACTGTCTACTGCTACTTGCTCTGCCATTTCAGTAATTTTAGATGAGAAGTGACCCTGCATCTAAGTACCCAAGGTAGGCTCTGAAAGCTGTTTATAATGAGGTACAATTGTGTCACAAAAGAAGTTCTAAGCTTTTGCATAGATTTCATGTAATTATGTACAGTTCTTCTTTGGGTCCAAAGGCTCTAGAATGATGACTCTATGTCCTTTTCAACTTTGGAACTATTTCTAAGGATTTTTTTGAAGTCTACATTTTTTTGAAACCTCATGGCTTCATTGCTTGAAAATGATACAATGAAAGTACTTTGTATTAAGATATGCAAATCCATTTCTACCTCCAAAGCTTCTTTGAAAAATTCAGAAAAGAAGGTTCTTCTTACTTGGTAATGTTTCATATTCATGAAAGCAGTTTCAATGCAGAATACTTTATTCTGTTAGCTTTTAGTTTCTTGATCAGTGGAAATTGTTTCTTACCTGCTGTTTCTTCAGCCTTTAATTGTGGCCCAGTGCTTATATAGTGTTTCTGTTTTAATTTTCATTTAATGAGCTTATTTTAAATGTTTCTTTGTAGTAATCTGAACGGTTTCTTTCTTAAATTTTTTAATATTAAAGAAAGAGATTTATGTTGCAGCTCACCTTCCTGTCTTATTTACTTATATGCTTGGTCATGTATTGAGACCATCTTAGGACATTTGTATTTTTAAGAGTGTTGATGGGTTCTTGATGATTTCTCCAGTTGACTCTTACTGTAAGACTTGAATAGGATTCCCCATAAAGGATAATTTTAGAGCCCTTAACATCAGAAGTGAGAAGAATCTCTGTGTACAGCACATAGCAACCTTCCCCATCCCTTAAACCCCCACCCCTGTCAAATTAGGGGAAAAAAGTGGTGATTAGGGAACTAATACTGGTGTTCCAATTGAAACATGTTCATTATTTATCCATGTAATTGATGAATGCACCAGTTATTCCTACTATTAAGTGTTTTTTGAACTTTCAGTGAATAAATAATATTACCTGAGATGAAGCCCTTTGCAGTTACATCGTCATTTTTAAGCTTATTCAGAGTAGATCCATTTTCCAGAACATGGAAAGACAGGAATTAGACACCTGAAATTCACTCAGTATTAACATGGAGAAATGGGACTGAGGTTTGTAATGTGTGTGTTTCAGAGGTGAACCTTTGGTTGTAGCGTCTACCTGTACTCTCCCTTTTTCCTTCCCTAATTTTCTTCTTCCCCGCACTCTTTGCTGTTGTCAGAAGCTGGACTTTTAATGTTTCATTCCTTAGCTCACAGAAGCAGCTGCTTTCTGACTAATTAAAGAGGTGAACTCTTTCCTTGCTTGCCTCTGGGGTTTCCACAGGGCTTGGTTGGTTATACAAGTGTTCCTGAGGGTCATGACTGGAATTGTGTGACTTAACAAACCAGGACCACCATGGCTTCTCCCATAGACATTCTCTTGACAGGGAGTTGTCTGCAGTAAAACTACTCGTAGGCCCAGCAAATGCATTTTGTTTTGAGGGGAATCTGGTCCT